TTGATATAAGTTTTAAAAAGAAACCACCAAAAGTTAGTGATAATAAAAAAAGTTGGAATATACAATGGGATAACGAAAGGAAAACGCGTTGACGGCGGTAAACGGTAAACGTCCGTTTACTAAACGCGGAAGACACGCGTTCACTCCTGTTATGACTATCGTAAATAGTGCTCTTTCATTTCATCTTTCATGCTACTATTCTAATTCCTTTTCTTTTTGTTCTAAAAGAACAATAAAATATTCGCCCTAATCCGCTAATTTATATTCTTAAGTATATAGTCTTAATCGAGATCGTAAATCTCATAGGCCAACGTATTTATATCTTAATTATCGTGACATGATATGGAAATTTATATATATCATGTGGTTGTGATGGGTCAAATTAAGCATATACGTAATGACTTTTGATACTCTCGAGTCTCGACCATTTCTAACGTGCGTGTCCAACTCGGTAAATTAAACGAATGGGCAATTGCAAAAATATCATTTTTGGGGTGTATATTTGTAAAAATGCTATTTAAGGGTGTTCATTTACAAAAATGCCACTAATTATGGATTTTAAAAGTCTAAATCTTAAAATTATAAATCTTAAAAAATATTTTGATTCCTAAAACCCCTAAACTCTCAAAACTAAATTCTAATACAACATAGTTAACACAAACATAAATAATATAATAAAAAAATAATTTTGAAAAAATGGCATTTTTGCAAAAATTTTAAAAAGATTATATTTTTGAAAAGTAGCACTTGAAAAATAACATTTTTTAAAATTTCTGTTAAATGAATCTACTTTTTTTTTTCTTTTTTTAGAAAAAAATCTACTCTTTTCTCTCTTAGTATATATTATTATACTTTTCGTAATCATATGCATTCATGTTTTGTTATTTTTTTCCAGAATGGTCTACTTTCTAATCATTAAGTAAGGCAGTAACAAAGCTATTTAATCACAAAGTCGTCTACACAAAACAATATTTGACATGGACTGATAGACCGCTTAATGTGAAGTGTAAAATGTAACTATGGTTATGTATTGATTATTTGTAAAATATGATAGTCGATGTTTTAGTGTTGTTTTTACATTTGGGAGTAAAATAATATTTGTATTTACATTTCACGATGAATCGAGTTCTTTTTTTTTGGCAAAACAAACGATGAATCGAGTTGTTGAAAAGACATATAAATTACATCCGATGATGAAATTTTATTTGACTAAACAAAACAATACTAATATATATAGGAAAACATTGCAAATTGCATTATCATTTCTCGCTATGTAACCGTTAATGTATTTATCCAATTAGCTACATGTATGATTTTTTCCCCACAAAAGGTGGAATAGTCTAATTGAGGTTCCAAAAGGCACGAGTTCGTGGTTTTTGTGGCCCTGCATTAAATGGGCACCGTACAACCATATTTCAATCAAAATTAAACACGTTTTATAAATAAATTTTATAATAA